TCTTTCCTGCCATGGCAGGGGGTTGGACTAGATGATCTACTCGGGTCCCTTCTGACCCTAGAAACTATGAAACTAAGGGGAGCGGAGAATCGGAGGCCAGGTAAGGCTGAGGCTGCCTGAGCCCAGCAGGGGGTTTGAGACCCTGAGGAGGAGAGTTGGGGCCAGGCATGGCTACAGCAACCTGTGACCCAAGGCTGTGGTAACCCCAGAGCAGGGGGCAGCGTGATAAGCACCCCGAGGCAAAGGGGGCAATGAGAAGCCCCAGAGTAAGGGGGCAATGACTGAAGAGCGCCTGTGGGGTGCAAGGTTGCAAGACAAGGGCTGTGCAAAGCCCAAGTGCCAGAGGGCGTGGTGAGGGACAAGGGCCGTGGAGAGCCCGGTCGCCAGAGGGGGCAGAGAGTCAGACAGACCGAACAATGTCTGGGATATCAGTGAGGCTTAGGGCGTGGTAAAGGGGTGGTTGGAGCCACGCATAGTGCATAAGGCTGGGGTGCACTGAGTCACACAGTATAGAACAGGGACCAGGATACAGCAGAGCACCATGTCCAAGGGGACAAAAGGCAGCCTCTCTTATATACATAAAAGATCAAGATGTGGCAGGAAAGAATAAGGGTGCTTTGAGACTAACTTGGCACAGTAGGGGGCGCTAGGGGAGATCACGGCCGCCCCTAAGACCCCGCACCATGACACATCTTTAAAAGATAAACTTGGGATCAAAAATTCCTAAGCTGCCCAGACACCTGGAACCAAGGATCTAACACTGATACTGGCTTTATAGAACATTATAACCTGCTTGATTCCTGAATTCTTCCCATATACAGGACAGGTGATAATGACCCTCCTTGCTTTTGATAGGCTTGATCTCCCAGTAATCAGCTTTTTCCCCTCTGCTTATTGTTAGTTTAACACCTCTGGGAATGTTTTTCCCTCTTCCCACTTTTTTTTTTGTTTGTTTTTTACTATTGCTATGCTGACTTTCTTCCTCAGACCTGAAGAAGATCTTCCAGTCAAAGACTCATTTAACTTTATCCCAACTATGCAGCTGGTTCAAAGAAAGATAACACTGAAATAACTCGTCTCTCGCATAATAAAGCAGCAAGCACATTTAAGTTCACTCAATATCATTTCTCTTACATTCATCTCTCAAACAAGATTTCTAAAGTATGGATATGGTATCCAGAACTTTTGGTTAAATATTTTTTTTTTAAATTATTGCAATTAGAGAACACTCTTCTGTTTAGATCTAAAACAGTTTAAACTAATGTTTATAAAAGCACATCAGGAATATGAATGAGAATGGTATAATAGTTTAAAGTAGGGTTTTTTAAACTGTGTTCCATGAATGCGGGCTCCATGGCAGGTCATCATGAGTTCTAGAAAGAAATCGGGGTAGTGGCAGAGCGTGCCTGGAGGCAGTGAGCTTCTATTGCCAGGCTGGGTTGCCTGGCTCTGCATCAGTCTTTAGGATATGGGTAGGAGTTCCATGACAGAAGTAATATGAAAGGGTTCTGTGACTTCAGGAAGTCTGAAAAAAATCACTGGTTTAAAGAAGTGTTATGATTTTGTATCTTACATTTTGTTAAGTGATTGATTACTTTTAATGTTGTACTTTTACATCTATTTTTAAATAAGCAAACGTTGTAGTGTTCTGAATTCCTTAAGCACACTTTTTCTATTTGTGCGGTAGAGAGAACATTTCTGAAGAGGTATGTGAAGTGCTGAACTCTTTTAAATAATCTCTGCAGTGATATTAACAATATTAATATCAAATCTAAAAGGGCAGCTAGAATGATTCTCAAGTACATACTTCTTTACTAAGGATGAGATGCCAGAATCAAATGCTTGTGAGCCCTAAGGACTTGTTTGGTGATTCTGTCGCTATCAGCAGGTTCTTAGTACTCTTTTTAACTGTCCTTAACAATAACATGCCTGAAGTTGCACATAATGAAATAACCTAAAAGAGCATAAGGAGAGACTCTCTCAAAATATCTTCTTTACAAATACTATGTCAACAAATCTTGTTTCAAGAAGGCAGCTGCCCAAAGCTCCTCAGCAGAACCCTCATCAATTCAATCCCTATTAACAGCATGACAGTATTTCTGCTGCTCTGATACTGCAATTAATAATTAATGAGTACAACTCCTAGTGGACAGTTGTTGCTATCATAAAAATCAAATGATCACAATCATCACCTTTAGTGACAGTCTGTGGAGAAGCTAAAGAGAAGAGAAGCAAGCACGCTGCATCTCAAGCCCTGAAAAGTGATCTCTCCTGAACAGAAAACAGAAGTACACTGGATAAGACAGGTTAGTGTAGGAGAGTTGACACTATTTGTGCTTCTAGCTGTTCTGCAGATAAATCAAGAACTTCATTTTATGTGCTGTCCATGTAGTGTAAATAAGAAACTAAATTCAGTTTTTAAAAATTTCCACGATTCCCATAATTTGTTTATAGACATGAATATGAATTGTATTGGTTCAGTTTAGATTTACATTGAAAGTGTAGCAATTCAGGGAAATGTCTTGGTCTTTTTTTTAGACTATGTGATCTTAATGCTTACTGAGCTGTAACAAATTATTCTATGATTTGTAGCTAATGAATAATTATACTATTAAGTGCTACTGAATAAGTAGCTGCTCTTTATGTAATCTGAAATTAAGTACACAAATATATATAGATATATACATTGTATTAATACTGTTTGTTTTGAAGAAACCTGGTAAAAACACATTACAATCTTTAGACAAAAGTTAGGTCTCCCCTCTCCCCCCCCCCCAAAAAATTAGAAATCTTCATATTTTCAACAGTTCTGAAGGTTTTTTTAATGAACAAGTGTGTGCCTTATTCGGTCTACATTTTAAAAAGCTTTACAGAAAACACTATACAAATGTTTCAAAACTTTTCAGCTGTGCATAAACAAAAGATCTTTCTATTGTGTTGATAGTGTTTCTGATAACAAGTATATACATCTAAAAAGAAATCTGATTTTTTTTTAGTGGTGAGTCCTTTTGAATACTTCAAAATTTAAAAATTTCTTTTCTTTCTTTTTTTTTTTTTTTTAAAGACTATGACCATTTTTCAACTGACTCATTATGAGCTCTCCTATTCATCAGAATCTTGAAGGCTTGGCCATTATAATTCCTTTAATTCCTATTAATCAATATCCTTTCCATCTAAATCCATCAATTCCATCTAAATTTGGGACATACTATATTATAGAGCTTTAACTAAGAATCATAGATTCACAGAAATTAAGGGCTGGAAGGGACCCTGAAAGATCATCAAATCCAACCCCTCTGCTCTTGGCAGGAATACTGCTGAGATCAAATGATCCCAGCAAGGTGTCTTTCTAGTCCCCTCTTAAAGACTTCCAGGGTTGGGGACTGCACCATCTCTTGGGGAAGTCTATTCCATATTCTGGTCACTCTTACAGTAAAGATTTAAATTTGGAGGAGATTCCTTGCATCCAATCTGAAACCATCCTGTAACAGTTTATGGCCAGTGCTCCTTGCCCTCCCCTGGGAGGCCCTAGTGAACAGTTTTTCTCCCAGCTCCCCATATTCACCCCTCTCATACTTATAGACAGCCACCAAGTCCCCCCTCAGTCTTCTCTTCCCCAGGCTGAACAGTCCCAGGTCCCTTAGTCTTTCCTCATAAGGTTTGTCCTCCAGGGCCTTAAGCATTCTTGTGGCCCTTCTCTGGACCCATTCAAGATTCTCCGTGTCTTTTTTGAAGTGTGGCACCCAGAACTGGACATAATACTCCAGGTGGGGTCTCGCCGACGCCGAGCAGAGAGGAAGTATCACTTCCTTAGCCCTGCTCACAATGCATTGGCTAATGCATCCCAGTATGGATTTGCATACTTCATTTCACTGGATATAAAGATACTGCACTAATTTATATTACGATAATGAGGTAATTTCTATTAATTATCACATTATAAGTGCAGAAATGGGATTAATTTAATGAGGATTGAAATGTAGACCATGAAACATCTGTTGACATGCTGCTTCCTGAAAGAACCATGTGTCATGGAAGACCTTTCCAGAGCTACAGACTGGACCATATTATATCCATGATACTTAAAAATATATATATAATTGTAGTGGCAGAACACAAGAAGATTATATGCTAATTTGTATTTTATTCACCCTCAGACCTTGGCTTAGATTTATATGCAGCTATGTGTACATGCATAATAAAAACATACTAATTAAATCAGAAAAGAACAAAACAAAGAAAGAGCATGTTAGAAGAATACAAAGGCTGCAAAGTCAAACACCAGGAAGTGAGGCATGCCAGAATTAAGGCAACCTCACACAATTTGATTCCCTTTGTAAATCTGCATCAAAATACGCCTTTCAATTGTATGACCACATCCTAGTTTTCAACAGTAGAAGCTTCCCTTAAAATAAGTTGCATGGCTATCTGACCCTCTGTGTTCCCCTGGATACACTTCATAAAGGTATTAGACCTTATGTCTTTATTAAACTCATGATGGACTCTCAAATTTCTCCCACTCCTGCACTGGGATTTGAGTTATAGTACTGTGTTCTAGGGCCGTGTGAGGATTTGGTAGGCAATTCAATTTGGAGGAGATTCGGCCCGATTCGGGGACTGAATCGCCGAATCCAAATCAAATCGGCAGCCCAAGTAAAAGCTCTGAATCGATTGGAATCATCTGAATCATTTTGGAAAAGCTTCAGAAAAGATTTGTCCGATTTGGAGATTTGGCTATAGACTAAACAGGCAGCTGACAGCTGCCTCCAGCTGGTAAGTCTGTTGAGGTTTGGGGAAGGGTAGGAAGGGGAGTGGGGGAGGGAGAGATTGGGGCTGGGGAAAGCTGCCCAGCTGGGGTGGAAGGGCCACATTACGGGGGG